CTGGATGCTTCTTCTTTTGTTCAGGGAGGCCCCCAGGAGATTTTAGAGACCAGCTCTGCCAGTGATGATTGTAGTTCAGGTGACTACTGGTGAAAAGGGAAGTGGGCCATCCGATGCCCAAGCACATGGTTTGAAACCATTTTGCCCTGACCAAAGCTGGTGCCAAAACTGAAATCCAGTTGTCTCTTTATCTGGAGAATGAATGGGACAGAAGGTCCTGAGGGCCAACTAAGGAGGCTGATGCACATATACCCAGGAGTACCCTTTGCTTTCTTAGCAGAACAGTGGCCATGGTTAGGGACTGAGGAGGTAGGACAGACAACCCTCTGCACAGTGTGCTCCCTGCTGCCACCTCGTGGTGAAAAGAAAGATCACGGGCAATGTTCCAGGGCATGTGTCTAAGTCAATTTGTCTGATGCCCAGCAAGCAGCCTGGCAGAAGCTGCCCTCTGCTGTGTGATCAGAGCAGAGATACACCACTGGATAAAGGCTCTGTCCCCTGGGGTTTTTCCTGTGGAATCAGTGATTCTCAAGTGTGTGCCCTGCTTTTTGGGAATACCTTAATATTCTGCTCACTTTGGAAGATGGTGTTGGGCATGGTGGGCACGAAGTAGGGTCCCTCCCAAGCCAGCCTTGGTATTGATAGTGGTATGGAGATGGGCTGATGGGAATGACAGAACACCAGCCTGATCTCTGTGAGAGGGCAAGGCCTCTCACCGCACAGTGACTCCCACACTGCCTAACTGACCCCACCCCAGTTAATCTCACTCAAGGGTTCACTTTCCACAGCCTACCCATCCCATAACCCTCCTGAACACCAAACCCAAGAAGCATCCTTTGGACTCCAGTCCGAGCCCACAGGGAGGCATGAAAGCAGTTCTCCAGAACTTTAAACAAAAATGAAATCCTGAGTGAGGTTTGCTTGGTGCCAGGTCTTCAGTTTAATTCCCTAGCACACATGTAGATACTGGCAAGTATCTACACACACACACACACACACGCACGCGCGCACAGAGAGAGAGAGAGAGAGAGAGAGAGAGAGAGAGAGAGAGAGAGAGAGAGAGAGAGAGAGAGAGAGAGAGAGAGAGAGAGTTAGTTCTGAACCTAAGCACAGAACTGTTTTGCCAAACCCTTGACCATGTGTGTCGAATCTTTGGGATACAGGTAATGTTTATTTCTTATTGAAAACCCATAAAAACACTGTCTCATTGCTTCCAGAAGAAAGTTCTGTGTAAATCAGTCCTCAGATTTTTCCTCCCACAACTCTCCTAGCTGATCAGTCTTTTTTTTCCTGGCTGTAAAAGAAGTCCCCCAATAGTTGCCCACCACTCAGAAGTAAAAAAGTAAACCCACCACCTATGGCCACAAAAGGCCCTCTCTATACAGGAATTCCAGGACACTGGCTGTTGATTGGTCTTGCATTTGCATATCCAAGAGGGCCACTTAAGTGGCTCTTCACGGGACAAAGATCAGCTTCTTTGGGCTTAAGGGAAGAAAGGTACTCTCTGCTCTCCACATTCCTGCAGAGCAGACCCTCACAGAAGGCTGTTTCGGGGACACATCTGGGGGACTGCTCTCCGCTTCCCCCACATTCTTCCTGCTACAGTTATTGTGCAGAATGACTCTGCTCCAGACACAGGAGCTCTCAGACCAGAGGCCTTGTTGGTGCTCCTGACTGTTTGAAGGTACCGGGGTGGGGGCAATAGGCAATAGGTACTGGACCAGACGATGACACGGGGGTGGGGGGGCAATATACTGGCTGACTGCAGGTCCACCTCCCCTGACCCACCCCAGAAGCTCTAGTATGGCCACAAGAACTTTGGTGAGAATCGGGATTTCCCAGCATCCTTCCTCCACAGGGGCAATGAGGGGACTGTCATTTGAATGAGTCCTCCAAAGGCTTATCTGCTGGAAATGGATTCCCCAAATTTATGTTGTGTGTGTCTGGAGGCAGAGTTTCGGGAGATTATTAGGATTAGATGGAGTTGTGAGGGTGGAAGCCCAGGGTGACATTAGTGACTTTAGGAAAGAAGGCCAGGAAGATGGTTCACTCAGTAAAGTACTTGCTATGCAAAACTAGGACCTGAGTTCGATCCCCAGAACCCACATAAAAGCTAGGCACAGTTGCAACTCCAGTACTAGGGAGGTTTGGGACTTGCTGGTCAGCTAAGGACTCTGATACAGTGAGAGACCCTGTGTCAAAAAATAAGGTGGAGAGCAAATAAGGAAGATATCTAATGTCACCCTCCATATATGCAAGCCACCCAATGCACACATGTACACAAACACAAAATGGAAAAGCAACACTGGCTAGTGCCAGCATACTCTCTTTCTCACTATGAGATGTCTTTACCATGGTAACTCATATGCACATCAGAGAATGGGGAATGAATCCAGCCAACATTCAAGGGCCTTCTACCTTGGTGAAATTTTTAGGAGTCCAGGAGTGTGGGCCATGCAGAGATATTCCTTCTAACGAAAAGGATAAGTTATTGCCCCGCTCCTCCCACCACCAAGAAAGAAGGACAATGTCTAGTGGGCCTATATGGATTCTGGAGACAGCACATTCTTCACCTGGGTGTGTTACTCTGCCCATAGACCAAGTGACTGGGAAAGCTGCCAGCTTTGAGTGGGGACTGGAACAGGAGAAGGCTCTTCAACAGTTTCAGGCTGCTGTGCAGGCTGCTCTCTGGCTTGGACCATATGATCCAGCAGATCCTATGGTACTTGAGGTGACAGTGTCAGATAGGGATGCTGTTTGGAGCCTTTGGCATGCCCTTATAGGTGAGTCACAGAAGAGACCTTTGGGATTTTGGCTGTAGACACCTATTCTCCCTTTGAGAGATAGCTCTTGACTTGCTATTGGATCTTAGTGAACAATGGGCCACCAAGTTACCATGTGACCTGAGATGCCTATCATGTGCTTGGTGTTATCTGACTCACCAAGTAGGACTGTACAGCAGCAATCCTTTATCAAATGGAAGTGGCATACACATACCTAAGTCCATATCCATATATATATATATATATATATATATATATATATATATCTTTGTTTTGTGCTGGCATGGACCAGAGCTCCTCTGTATACCATCCTCCAGATTTGCACATTGTCACTGCTGAAGGGTTTGTCCATACTCCTTGCTATCTCAAGGTTGTGGTGTCCATCACTAGCCAGGGTTTCTGTTGGCCCTCTGCTGAATGGTATCCTGGAGGGGGGTCTCGCCGGGGCTGGAGCCTGACTCTGTAGAAGCCATGGAACTCTGAAATAGTGGCCGCTCTATGCCTCAGTTTCCATGTCTACAGAGCACAAGTGTGCTGTCCACCCACTGCGGTGTCAGGATACACAGTAACTGTACGTGCTCTGAGGTACTGTGTGACTGTGAACACACTCTGTGATGTTCAGGTCAGGGTAGCTGTAGACCATCATTTCAGACAACTATCGCTTCTTTGGGTTAGGGAAACTCAAAACCTGTCCACTAGGTATTTTGTAATATATTTTTTTTAAGATTTATTTATTTATCATGGATACAGTGTTCTGTCTGCATGTGTCCCTGCAGGCCAGAAGAGGGCACCAGCTCTTATTACAGATGGTTGTGAACCACCATGTGGTTGCTGGGAATTGAACTCAGGACCTCTGGAAGAGCAGTCAGTGCTCTTAACCTCTGAGCCATCTCTCCAGCCCCCTATTTTGTAAATTTTAATTAATTGTTGTCACCCGTAGTTCCTCTCCTGTGCTATCGACCATCAGAAATTATTCCTCCTATTGAACTACACCCTTGCCCTCTAACTCCTTTCTCCAACCCCTCCCAGCCTCTGCTAACCAATCTCATTTCCCTTTTCTTTGAGGTCATCTTTTTAGCTCCCACAAGTGAGGAGACCTTATTTCACTTTGCCTGATGAGTCTGAAGGGACCAGCTCCCCTTTCGGCAGCCATAACGGCCGAACACGTGCTTGTCTGACCTTTT